GCGCGCGGACCAGTTGACATTTAGACCGAGTTCGGCGTTGATAGGCGGCATTCACGATTTCACAATATAGACCGTGCCCTTGATCACGTGTTATCAAGTCCATTTCATCAAGAAAAATGTCCTGGGATACGCAAACCAGGAATAAACTCCGGGTAGCAGAATAAATGGGGTGAAGGGATGCTGGCAATTAAAAATTTCGAAATAGTATTATTTGAAACTTGGTAATGTATTGAAAGTAGGTTATCACATCTAGTGTGAACTGAAGCTCAATAGGAGTGAGCCTTCACCCACGGAATCTTCAGGCCTGAGATGGGAAGGTCTTATCCGTTTGGATGAAGGTAAGGCCACACTGAAAAAGCTTCATTTCCACCACAAAAGTACTAGGCTCAAACTCAATGCAGGTAGTTGTGCCAACCATGAAAAGCGAAGCGAGACCATGAAATGGTCTATATCATTGTTGCTTTAAGATAACTAGCTAAAATTACTAAAGCCTGTAGACTACCGAAAAAACCGCAATTGTGAAGCCTGCTTTTCCCGAGTTTTCGGAACTTATTCACTTCCAAAGTGTACATTGGGTGAGTTTCTATCAGTTTCGAAATGGTGCTGGATAAACAAGGCCATCAAGTTAATGAATGGATAAGATCAACGCATTTCAAAACGAGCCCAATATAAGTTGGGCGGGATATTAGGAAATGGTATGTATATTTTCATATTTTCACACACTTGTCTGAGGACAGGCTGTGTGCCAAGCAAATCATGATACAAGAGTCTATACGAAAAAGAAAAACGTTCCATGAGTTGCGTGTGGGCTGAATACTGCCAGGTTGCCCAGGCCAAGGCAGGTGAATTTTCTTGGGGAATCCACAACCGGAGCCTTCGGCTAGCCAAAGCCTGACCGGCAATGCAACGGGGAGGAGTGTGCAAACCACAGTTCATTAGGAGCCGGGGTCCAGTTCATCGGACTATACGCCTAATACACCTTGATGTCCCATCGAGCCGGTGACCACTTCCACAACCCGGAAGGGGTTTTTGGTTTGTACGCCTCCTTTAGTTCGGTTTATAATCAAGGCTCTTGGTCAACTCCCTTCGGTGAACTACCAGTGGCCCACCAACCCGGTTATAGCCCCAGACGTCGGCTTTTCGTCCTCTCACTTTGGTGGTAAACACCTCCGCCATGAGAATGCAGTGAGTAGGGCTTCTTTAGCAGAGGCTGTTTGAGAATCTTGATCGTATGGGGGCNATTTCGCGAGGCGCAAGGGAAGGGTGACCAGTCGCAACCCTAGACACCCACCTCCCGACCATACTGAAGCTTTTGAAGGCAGGAAATGGTACGCAAGAGAGCGGAGAGAGAAAAATAGGAATGCCGAATTTGAAAACCACCGAGGATGATCGTGTTCAGCTCTAGTGGATGTCGCATCCAAAAATAGCTCTATAAATTAAGCAGAAGATTTTTTTAAGCAAAATAGCAGCGTTATTTGTTCCATTCACAGAAATAGCGCACTAAAATGAAATCTTGAAAACCGCCAATTGACAGAATTAACCGTTTTAATTATTAAGATAAGAATGGTGCCACCAAACGCATATCAAACAAGCAAACTGAGTGGCCAACCATTTCATATTCACAAAATGACATTGTCTTGAATTAATATAATCAAATCACATCACATCATAGGGTACTACAATCGTCTCCCGAAATAAACCTGAACAACGAACACAACAGAGCAATCAAAATCGCTTTAATTCCGGAATCATTTTGCTGCATCTTAGTTGGTGAGTACTTCAGAATATGAAATAGATTATGTATCACAGATGTTAATAATAATATAACATGCTATCGATTCACTCTTCCGCTTACGTGGTTACCAGGGCCATGCCGCACTGAGGTGCACCTTATTTTGCTGACACAGCTGCAAATCTAGGAACCTTGTATTTCAGGTTGTATAAACAACCCGGAAACAAGTCCGCGCTCGGCTTTATGGCCAATCAGCGACCTATTTGCGAGCTCTACTTCCAGCCTGTCCTCAATGCAGATCTTTCCTCTCCTGTCCACTAGGCAAAGAAATATGTTTATTTTTGCCGTAAGCCGTCGGAGCCTTCAGAAATGAGTGTATTGGTCTTTCCAAGTTGTCTCTCTGTGCATCGAACGTTGTACTGAACCACTTGATAGACAAATTATGGAGATATCGGTAAACAGCAGTTGGTGGTTACATTCTTATTTCAAAGTAAACGAATTGTTAGGATGGATAATGTTGAACCCCACCTCATGGTTCCGTTTGATTCGACGTTGCGTTGCAAATGAGTGAACAAAAGACTACGTGATCACGATGAAGCCGATTTCAATTTTTATGAATTCCTTTTATAAACTTCAAAGGTAGATTCATTTGTACCCCAAAATCTCCCAAACTTCGGGGCTTACAACATCTGCGAATCAGGCAATCGTAAGTTGCTGCAAATGTAATCATGATAGAGACTAAATATATATTAGCTCTACTGAGGAAAAACGGACCCGATTACAATGAACGCTATAACTAAGGCTTTTCACGGTATAATAAAAACATACGGTTATTATATCCGATTACCGTGTTACAGATCGCCATAAAATACGACAGGAAACAAGATGATCGGGACAGTCAATAAATTAGGCTTGCTTACTTGGAACACGATTCCCGACCAAAAGTGCTTCTTGTAACTAATAAACAGACCGTTGTGACTTCTATACGAGGATACAAAATAGTGTGTCTGACAATATGGCCTAAATGCGGATATGGGTATATTTATAAAATTCTAAATTTACTGATAGCGGAAGTTAAGAATTCCATTTTAATAAGCGAAAGTTCGGCAAATATTTTAGATCAAATTGATGATGATTATAGCATACGTGCCTGCGGCTTAAGTAGGTTCTGCCAGCCTTTGCATCGATAAGTTATTCGTTCCACAGACGTTATCGATTGATATCTTAGATCGATCGACCTCACGCACTTTACCATGTTAATACTGCTGGCCGACATGGGCCAGATTCTGATTGGCTCTTAGTTCTATTGATGCCTTGTTGGACATACGCTTGACACGACTGACCGTGAACGAGTCATAATAAATCTATCCTACCCTGCGTACGGCTATTTTACTTTGCTGGCGAGTTACGGGTCAGAGATTACCATGCTTGAAATCCAAATGTAGCAATGATGATGATGGTGATCCGGATGATGATAATGATGATGATGACGATGATGATCATGATCGCGTTGATTATGCTTATAAGTTTGTAGATGGTGAGCAGGAGGAAAATGATGAAAAATAAATCAGGCATTTATATTCAAGGCACATCAAACGTGCCAACCGATTCACTATAGCATCGATAATATTGTGGTGACTTGTGTCTGAGACAAATGATGCTAAAAATATGCGTGGCACTTTAAACAACAATAAAACATCCCGAGTAGCGGAATCAACAGATTTTTAATAAAGGTTCAACATAACAACACAAATTGAACTTTTCCAGTACGAAAACCGTTCACATTTTGCAGTATCACCGCGGTGAGGTTATTTGCTTTGACACTTTCTTCCTTCCATTACAGGTTTTTGAAACTACAAGACTCCGTCATCAGCCACAGCTCTGATGACGCAACACCAGATCGACCGAAGCATGGCGTTTCGGATTATCTACAAGTCACGAATCGCAAGATTGCTGCGGTTTGCAGAAGCGATTGCTGTCAGTCGATGGAAGCCCCCTTGTGTCAACAAAAATAACGTTATATTAGTTTATCCTTACCCCGGTGACAGTCTTTTTGACCCCTCCCCTTTTTATGTTTGTCTGTTTCATTGTATTTTACTCTTCTTTGTTGCCATGCTGATGTTTTTCCCGCAGTATGCACCATATTGAGATGCAGCGAAATCGTCCT